TAGAAGCGTGTTATGAAAGAAACCAAGGAAAAGATCATGTGGCATCGTTTTCCATCCTGTTCAATGGAGCAGAGCTACTGTCTTCTCTGTGCTCTACCAATGTCAAAGGCTACTCCCCTCTCCTTAGAGAGTGATTGTGTCATTTCTACTATCAGGTAGTAAGGGTTTGCTATGGGAAAAGGGCATAGAAAAAAGTGGCCATATGGATTTCCTACCTTTGTTGTGAAAACCACTGAGTGCTTCAAGAAGAGGACTCAGTTTATCTGTCTACAGCAATTAAATTGCTTCAGATATTAAATGATATTTGAGAAATTGACAGCTTTTTTAGAATAACAGTGATCTGTAAGAAGTGTCTGCTCTCGGACTGGTAGAACTTTAGTCTTCCACTGATCATCATAGCAACAAGAATTTTTGTAGAATAGTGGCATGCAGAAGGAGAGTGCTGGCTTGTAATGTGCTTGAGAACTACCCCAAGAATGAAGTCTTCAGCGCTGATTACATGTACTTGCTCAGTGTGATTTTTAACAATCTCTGCTTTCGCACGTTTCTGCAACAGTGTGAGAATATTCTAGTGGCATGGATTTTAAAAAGGATTATGCAAATAAAAAAAAAAGCAACTTCAATATGTCTTAGGGACTTATTTGAAACTGTAAATCTCTGTGTCCTTTTGTAGGCTTGAGTATCACAGTGCTTATCTGAATTCTTGGAACAAAACTTCTTCCTGTAAATTATAATCTGTGCGTTTTTTTGTTGCTGAATTTGCTTGTCGTAGAGTGAGACGACCAACTTAAGGAAGGCGTTTGTGTAATTTGGGTCATGTCTTTATGGCAAGAACGTTGTTGGATGGCTTCTATGTATTTCCCTAACGTGCACTGAGAATGCTGAATCTTTTATTCATTTTCAATGCTGTTTCTCAGACTTCAACTTCTTCCAACATTAACTTCATTGCTGATTCATATGGAGATGCGGCAGTCTACTTTGTGATGATGATTTGAAATTGAACTAAAATACAGACCAGATAGAGTTTCCCGTAAGAAAAATAAATAAAACATCTCCTTTTCCTTTCCAGGCAGTACTTAAAAAAATAAAATAAAAAAATCAATGTAACTCTCTGTAGAATTATCATAAGTTCCGTTCAGGAGAGCAGCTTTGTTTTTTGTTTGAAATGACCTAGAATGCATCTCCATTGCCCTTGCAATCAAGCTCAGATGAAGCTTTGCTTTCCAAGGGAAGTCCTAAGCTTAAAGACCAGTCAGGAAATAATTTATACTCCAGTTTGACCTGCTAGTGTTTGCAGTGTTTGTAATCCTACCACAGAACCCAAAAACAAAGATACAGCGTATGCTTACTGAGTGGCTGTGGGATCTGCACAAAGTCCAGGTTTCTCTTTTGAAGCTGGAAGCTTTCCCTGCTGGCCTTACTGAACATGTTTTCCCTTGATACTGTTTCTGCTCCATATCCAAGCACCAAGTGGAGAGCATCCAGAGAAATTTGGAAGGGTAGCTTTTACCTTTTAACCCTTTTAAAGGTGTTTGAACTTTCTCTTTGATTTGCATAGGATTTGAGAATGGTAGCATTGATCTAAGTCCTGGAGTCACAGTGAAGGCAGTCTGTCAGTACACATGAGAAAATCCAGATTGTTTTGTCTTCATCATTTCCTGGGCCTCCCACAGGCACTGTGACCCGGTGTGCATATACCTTAAACAAATGGAGAACTGCATTGTCTGCTCAGTTTGGCACGAGATGACTTTAATGTTTTCCGCATATGTCTTCTTGGTAACATTGTTCTTCCTTCTTTTTCCAATGATACCTCTTAGTTTCTGATGTACCCGCTGCGTAGATTATTGGGTAAGTTTATGGATTTACTTTGGTCTCTGTGCAGAATTTGCTGGATCGTTCTGAACTGTAGTCAAAAGACTCCTGCAAAGATTTTTAGCATCTGAACTTCTTAGTCCCTCTGTTGTTGTGACAGTTTGTCTCCCATAGCATCTAGATTTTTTCTCTTGTAACAGTAAACAACTTCAGTTCAAGGCTTCAGCTGGTTCCTTTTGTCAGCTTGAGAGCATTGACAACACACTTAACCCAGCCATTCAACTATCGTATTTGAGAACTGTTTTGATGAGTTAAACACTAGCAATGCTTCCACCTTTGGCTAAACTTGTGTTGTAATGTTTCTGCAAACCGGAGGGGTTCCTAGAAGTCTCTTGGGTCAGCTGCGCTTTGTCTGTTGCTGTTTACGTTAAATCTAGGACGTAAATGTGGTGTTGAGAGCTTGCTTGTTATAGTTAGGCTTTATCAGCTTTGAGATGTCTCTGGCTTGATGGGTGCAGAGAAGTGTGACCAGGGAGAGAAGTATGTAGAGAGTGGTAGTGATCCCCACAGATAAATAAGGCAGGCAGCAGCTGTTGGTCTGGATTTGTGTGTGCGTTTTCAGCATCTGCTGTTGAGTCTGGTTTAATTGTTTTAACCAGCTCATGATTGAAATAGTAAGCTGCAGCTTTCAGCAGCTTGATTCTGGTAAATTATAAAGTTCATTCATGGTTTTTGTTGTGAAACTACCCCTTTCATTGTCTGGCTTTCTTCTTTGACGTTGTCAACTGGAAAAAAAAAATTGTTTTTTGGCAGTTATTACATTGGCATTAATGGTTGGTGGCCACACTGAGAGATACTGTTTATTATTGTACAGAGAGTCCGATATTTTTCGAAGTTCTTTGTGAACAGACTAATTGTTTCCAAGCTGATTGTCTTGAAGAGAATAGAATGATAAATGGGATTAGAGCGATTGAAGGAACCTGTTTAAAGCTAGCCATTGGCAGTTGAGGCTGCGCAGGGAGAAACTTCATCTGTCCTTTAAAATGCTTTACTGTTGAAATGGACGGGACTTGTTTCATCCGCTGGCCTTGGCAGTGTAAATGTTGTAATCCTTCATGTGTTCCTGTGATTTCTTGGCTTTGAGAAGCACTGTCTTTTGAATCCTTTTTTGCTGCCAGCAAGAAATCAAAACTAAGGACCTGTCCATTCATTGCTCTTATCTCCTCCACTTTCTGAAATTATGCCCAAGTCTGGAATTTCTAGTGCTCAGCCTGTTCCAGGGGAATGTCCTACTGGATTAATGCTGTCTGTGATATGGTTTTCTTCTCTTCCTTCTACCTGAAACTTTATCTCTGCTGTGAAATGGTTCAGGATTTTGTCCCTGGCAACTATATCACTAGTTTCTTTACCTACTGTGGCTGAAGAGTTTTTTTTTTTAATTACGTTACAAACATCCATGGGATTAATGTCCATGGGTTCAGGGTGTGTGGGAAGGAAATTATACCAGCAGGGGCCAGCAAAAACATCTTGATATGGGACCTATCTGCAAAGAATTTTATCCAGTACGTTGTTGATAGGGAGGGACCTGTGTCTGGGGTCCTTCTAAATGACTGTAGCCTTCCTGCATGTGAAAAACTGCCTCCAGATTGCTGTCACCTGAAGGCACACCTGCCTGTTGTCCAGGTTGTTGCTGAAGACGTTAGTCAGTGCCAGCCCCGTACCAGCGTTTGAGGAATGCTGCTTACAATCACCGCTCAGTAGTGCATTGAACTGTTGGCCAGTGCCTCCTGAGCTCCAGTCCAAGTAGCCTTGCAACTGCCTTGGGTTCTTCCCTGGCTCTCAGCAGCCAATGCAGCTCCTGGGAGAGCAGGTTCTTTCTCTGCAGCTAGTTGAGTTAGTGCAGTGGTACCAATGGTTTTCTAGAAGGAACGTACCAGCCTCTTCTTCTTTCAGAAGGGATGGGATGGGATGAGCTTGTCTGTAAGCTGATTACGATCAGTCATTACCTTTTATTTTGTAAAGCAAAACTCACAAAGCCAATGATGGGTAAAAGCAAATAGAAGTGTTTATTTAGAAAACTCAAAAGAATATTATTGTAAGGCTGGGAGAGGTGATTAAACAAAGAAGCAATGACAACTGTGACTATATCTGACTCATGTTTAGAACTCCACTTTCCTTTCACAACGAAAAGATATTTATGAAAGCTATTTAGATTTATTGGCCATTACCCTAATCAGGAAAAAATGTTTACCTTTCTGCTATTTTATGTTCCTTAGTTTTATAAACATGTATGTCCCTTGGGCTTGGCCAGATGCAATTACTACTTGTCTACACGTAATTAGGACCAATTTACTGTTACTTTAGCGCTAGGCTAAAGCTTCAAGCAAGCATGAGATTTGATGTTTTGTCCCCTGTTCCTGGCTGGCCTCAGGGTCCAGTCCCAAGCTGGTGCAGGTCTATGAGTGGGGGTTAATCTTCTGAGTTGTTTGTGAGGAGCAACTGCTGTTGTGCACCTGCCCTTTGCTGAGGCCTCCCTCTTTTCTGACCTTTTTCTTTCTTCTGCACAGGAGAAGAGGGCTAGGCCAGGGTTGGGGAAACTTCACTGGTACCTTTGGCTTTTTTCTTGTCTGGATTCTGAGCTGCCCCTGCCCCAGTGCTCCCATGGGGGTGTGGTAGTTTGGTTTTCTTTGGCTGATGAGTTTGCCGAATAACAGCGCACAGTGCAATCCATTGGGTGAACGCTTTTTTGTGTAAGGCTTTTCCGCTGAGAAATCTTTCATCTCTTAAACTGTTGCAGAGCTCTGCATGTTTTCGGTTTGACCTGCTTTTAGAAAGAAAATCTTCTGGGGGAATCTAGCTTGATGACTAATTATTTGTTTGTTAATAATCTTTTAATTTTCATTCATCAGTTAATTCCTTCCTCATTAAGTTTTCAAACCCCCATCTACTAACATCTTCTAGAAAACTCAATATTTCTTATTTACAGTTGATTGTTGAATCCCTACAAAACAGCTTTCCAGCCAGCTTCTGTTGTATGTCTTGATGCCTTGTCTTGATGGGCTTCTTGTTGTTTCTTTTCTTTTTTTCTTTCTTGTGTGAATTTATTTCTATTGCATGGACAGTTACTCATAGATTTAGTTACAATTTGAAATGCTAGTTTCAAATCTTCTATGATTTTTACTTTTACAGGTATCTGAAGAGACAAGGTATCTTGCTGCAACTTCACGAAGGTATCTTTTAAGATCTTTTTTTTAATCAATTTTTGCTTGCACTCTTTCCAGATTCACCAATAAGGTTGCTTAATTTAGAAGTTATATTTTTATCAGGCTTGGGAACCATTTACACTGATGTGACTTTGCTAATATTATGATGTTCTCTCTAATGTTGGTTTTTTTGTTGGGTTTTTTTTTTTTTTTTTTTTTGCTCATTTACATCTCTGTAAATATTCTGCGAATTTACTTGCTGTGAATTCACGTAGCTGCAAAGTATGCATGGTCATTGCTTGTAGACAGTCTTTCTTCAGAGAAGTCTTGCTATGTGCTATCAAAGAAACCCGACAAAAAAGAGGCCTTTTGCACAGAAAGTTAATTCATCCTGGTATTTCCTGTCCCAAGCTAACATATCTAAGCCTACATTCATGCTATTAAATGTTTTCTTGGTACCCATATTCTGAAAACCATTATTGGTGAATATGGAATCAATTTCCCCCATTCACTGCCTCCTTATTCCTGTGTGGACAAAAGGGTGGAGAGTAGTGCATCAATCTCTTACAGGAACTTACTGGTGCTTAGCACTTCTACCAGAAGTTGCTCTTTACTGAACAGTGACCTATGTAACTCTAGGAGATCAAGAAAAAAGGCAGCTCTCCGTACTAGAAAATGCTAGTTCATTTTCATCTCATTTGTTTTTATCATTTATTGCTTCTTTCTGGGGATAAAAAAACAAAAAAAAAAAAAAAAAAAGAAAAAGAAAAAAACAAGAAAATCCTCTTCATGCAAGCTTTTACTTGCTTAGCATTTATTTAAAAGTAAATGATATTACATGTTATTTTTTATACAGTACTCATCGCAGTGCTTTCACTGCACTCACACTTTTCACTGAGTGCTTTCTAGAATATACTTTCCAGAATATGCTAGTGATGTACATGACATTTGGCACGTGGTTTACTGACTTTCATGTTCAAACAGTGAAAATTGGGAGGGTAGTCGTAAGTTTAGTTTTGGAGAAGTTTGGATAAAGAAGAAAATTTTCTTTAGCCTTTAACTGAAATTTCTAGAACTTTACTGACCCTTTAGCAATTCTTCCTGAATTATTGGACAGTTGATGGCTGCTGCCTTTTGCTGTTAATCCTAGCAACAGGCAGAAGGCAATAGCATTCCAGCATTTATTCTTGCTCCTTTGAAGAGCCTTCAATGACAGCCAACTTCTCTTTACTGAGAAGCAATAAATGAAACCAAGAGATGATAAAATTCAGCTTACCAGTGTTAAATAATTCACCATTCAAATGGACTAATAGTTTCCACCAGATTTATAGTCACACTGCATGACTGGTGTGACACTTGTTTTTATTGTATGTGGAAGGTGCCTACCCTCAGATGAGAGGAATCACGACTCAGGCAAACCATTGGCAGGACAAGCTACACATTTGTATTGCTCACAGTTTTGTTAGCAAAGATAGTTTAAATGATCAGTGTTGAGTCCTTACATTCTAAATACTTACTTGCATTTTGAAGGTTGATTCATTGTTTTCAGTAATGGTCTGTCTAGATATATGGATCTGTATGAATACTCAGCTATTCTTGTTCTGGTATTGCAGTGGCATTTCTTGTCGATGAGAGGAACTCGTCTCTCTCTTCCCACACAAACGGAGTGCAGAATGGAGCTGTAGTATGGACTTCTTTCAGAAAGACAGCAACAAAAACAAGACTCAGAGTAAAGGTTAGCAAATCATTTCTTATTCTCTTTGTAGGTTTTCTTTGGTGTCTGTATACTTGTTACATTTCAGTCCTGTTAATATTTGTACGGAGGACTTCTTCAACAATTTTTGCCTTTCTCAGTTTTACTTTGTTACTCAAACCCTCTGGTATTCATTATTGTATGGTTTGGTGCAGAGTCAGGCTATAAGTTCTAAGAAGGCCATTTTGCAAACTATTAAGGTAATAATTAATTTCGATTTAAAAACAAATACGTTTCCCCCATTTTAATTTCTTAAATTGGTCTTGAATTGTAGCAATGGGACTGTAATTGTCATGGTTTCTTCCTCAACACCTATTCTAAAGGTCGGAAATGAATCATGGTCTTTATCAGAGTGGCTTGTGATGCTAGTAAAGCTGGCAATTTGAAGAAAGGCTCTGGCCTCACTACAGATACCTGGCACTGAGGTGGTAACCAGAGAGGCAGAAAGAATGGGAAATCTGATGAATGAGAGCACTTTCTGTAGCTGGAGATGCTGAGAGGTGCTGCGTTTGATTCACGAATTGGAGTCATTATAGGAAGCATACAAGTATAAAGGCAGGTGGAAGGATGCAGTTATGGGTCACAGTAAGGAAGGTGTAATAGGATGGCAGAATTATTCAGAAAAGAGAAGACAAAATAGTTTCCACAGTAAAGAAGAGGAAAAAAGATGACAGATGACAAGTAGATGTAGCATGTTATGCTGAACTATGGAAACAGATTAATTGCAAAGTCTGGCTTCCTGTTTTTAATATATTAGGGAAAAATATTGGAATTAATTCCTGCTTCAAGGATACAAGAATATTTGTAGTTGTGGTAGCATAGCATAATTGGTCCTGGTTTTATTTTATTATTTTACTTATCTCATTAATATCCTCAGCAGGGAATTGTGGTAATGTTCTCCCATCAGTCTTCACGGATTTCTTCTATCTTAAAATGCTCTGGAAGACTTGAGCATCTAGCTAGATCATCTTTACTGCTTCAGATAAACCTTTATTAGGCATTTCTTCCCAAAGAACAAGAGAATACTTTTTGTCCCAGTTACTGCTTGCTGAGTTTATTCCACATACTCTGGGTGAAAGGTCCTAATTCATTCATCTCATGATTGAATTCTATACCCTTTTTTATTACAATTAATCTACAATCCACTGGGTTATGGGACTGAGAGTGCTGAATAGTGTATTGTCAGCAATTGACGATTTATTTTTTTACGGCTGATAATTATGTAAGAATCAACAAAATAGTTCTTTGATGCCTCTACAATACTGCATGCTTGTCACGTGGCCACATTTATTTAGTACTCTTCTAAATACCAACAGACATTTTTTTTCTTGAAGAGTTTCATCTGACACACTGATTTGCAGTAAGAAAAACCTTATTGACAATTGATATGATACAGAAGGTTGGCAGACTGGTTTTAAATTAAATTTAGAGCAGGAAAGGATTGCAGAGAAGAAGGAAGAATAGTGTAGGGGGAAAAAAAAAAGCAAGAACCAGAGAATGAGAATTTGAAGTCACACAGTCATTTGGGATTTCAGTCACTTTGAGTTACAGAATGTTCTGTTATTCATACTGTTTTAATTGGCACGTTAAACGCTTTAACAAGAACAGTTCATGTGCAAGTCTCTCTTATCTTTGAGAAGATATGTAATGAAAAAGACTGTTGTGAGAATGCAAAATGAACTTTATTAACATGGCGTAATGGAAAGCATTGCAAAACATACAGGTCACCATTTGATTGTCTAGGCAGTGGATTTTCCTCTTTTTACCTTTTAGAAATTATTTTGCTGGCTTATTCGTTACTTTTCAGCTTTCTAAGTGCAACTTCAAAGTCCATTTCCAGGACCCAACTGTGCTGTTTTCCTACTATAAAACAGGTTTTCAAATCAGTTGATTTATTTCTGACATTTTTATCCTAATGGATATGAGAATGTGACTCTTATACATTACTGTCATTTAGCACTGAAAGGGCCTAACACATCAACCCGGAGGCTAGGCATTCTTCTGTATGCCAGCACTTGTGGGAATCACTGTTCATTTTGTCACTATGCTATATGCTAGAAATACTAGCGTAATTAACTGGGTGGTTTTTATAGGAATGCTGTTTCTTGCATGTCAATGCAGTTCGCAAGTAAAAATATGTATTTCATGCTGAAAAAAAAAACAAACAAAGCAAAACAAGAACAAAAAAACCACTTGTGCATATAACATTCCCTCTTTGTATTTTTTATCCGTCCCTTCATGATGCTGATTTCATGCTTATGAATTGCAGGTATTCCTAATACTTCCATAGACAAATCTCCACTTGAAATCTCTGTTCTCCATCTGTCCCTTGTGTTTCACAGTTGGCGTACTTGAATTGCTGCTTGCTTCACGTTGTTTAATTATTTAAAGTTCTGAAATATTTCTAATTGTTTATCTTAGGGGAATTGATGCCAACCTATTATCTAATACCACTGCAAAAAAGGTTTTGCGAAATGGAAGGCCTTGCGTTTTCCTTGGTGAATGAGCTCTGATTTCTGTAGCCAAGAGAGTTCTTTAGTTGAAGATTAAATTTAATCCTATCCCCAACCTAATTAGCTCTACCTCGGTTTTTAGTCAGTTGCAGCACCCTATGGTCATGACACCTAAAATCATATGCTTTTAGGCCCCTGAAACTGCAGAAGTTTATCTGAGCAGTTAAGAAAACTCATTCGTTAAGAATGACTCAAAACATGGTCAGACACACTTAGGCAAATGAATCCCTGGTGTAATTTCGCTGACTCAACTGGACTTGCAACAGAAATTGATACAGGCATATTTTGCTTCCTTTCAAAAATTAATTAAATAAATAAATAAAAAGAGCAGGAAAGAAGGGCAAAGGACCCGCAAACAGTTCCTTGGATAGTTAATTTCAGAAATTTGTCAATATTTACATGCAGGGAGGCTGGGGAAATGTGTCAGTCATCATTAACACTGCACCTTTTCTTTACACTGGGACTATTAAACAGATGTGGATATTGAAAGTCTGACTCTCCTCAGAATTTTTATCTTTTTCCTTAATTCTGATCTGAACAGAGACTTTGACCGTTTCTGTCTTTACACTACTAAGTACTGTTAACGTTGTTCAATGCTGACCAGTGTGTGTTCTCAGCTCCCATGCTCTTAGCAAGAAAGAGGTCTCTAGGCTCAAAGCTTACAGGCCATGTTGCAAGAGCTTGGATTAATGGACATAATTTCACAGGCAAAATAGGTTTTTTTTTAATTATTCCCTTGCATGATATTTTAATGAAATAAGAAAGGTGAAGTGCTGAAAAATAGGAATGTAAATACAGCTTCTAGTATTCCAAGGGCTAGAATAGATTGTTTTTTATTACTGAGATAGTGGCTTTGATACCCATGTTCAATGGAATTGAACTAAGGCAGAAAGATCTCAGTGTCCTCGTGGGTCGATTTCACAGGAGCCTGATGGTAAATGAAGGATAATCAACTTGTGTGGGAGAGAAATGGTCATATTGCTTCAGTATCCCTTTGGTTTTTCAACTTTCACCTTTGCAGTAACTGGTATCGGCTCCTTCCAAGAAGAGAAATATTCTCTTCTGTTAGATAAGCAGTTAAGAAGAATTACTCTAAGGTAGATGAAAAATAATCACAATGAAGGAATTGTTTACCAGTCACAGGTTCAGGCAAACTGTTCATAAAAACTTCTGCAGCCACAGTATTGTAAAATGCTTGAAATTTGTGTGTGGATGCTGCAACTGCAGTTATGCCTGGAATTACCTTCAAAGTGAGCAAGGTAGCACTGTATTTCTGCAATGAACATAGCCAGAACAACCTCCATAAGTACATAGCTGCAATCATATAAAACTTATGTCACTTAAAAATGAGAGAGGTTTTAATGACAAAATGAAGAAAAGCTTCTAGGAGAGGGTAGAAAAGCCAGCCCCAGAATGTTAATGTCTTGTCCTTAGTGCAGCTATATGATGTATCTGAGTCTCTCTTCTTGGAGCAAAGCAGCATCTGTTCTGCAAATAAAGCGCGAAATACTGGTTTGAGGGCAGATGTGTACATTGTTACTAATGCCTGATATTAATACAGGTTTAGTTTTTTTCTGTCCTGATACAAATTTCATCAAACCTTGCATAGTCTAGTGCTGAGTAAACTGGTAGAGGCTGCATTCCAAAGAGTGTAATAATTAGTCTGGCCCACATGGATAAACATTTTCTTTCCGCCCACCATTGTAAACCTTTTTTGCTTACCTAGGACATAAGTTTCATATGGTTGCAGCCATATACTTATGGAGGTTGTTCTGGCCATGTTCATTGCAGAAATATGCTAGCCTAGGTTCATGCAGTCACTGAAAGAGATGTCTATACTGGGAGTAGCACTCGTGTGCTCAGCTGGATCAGGAGGCTTGTTTCACCAAAAATTAATCGCTCTGTTACTGTTTAGGTTTGGATTTTTTTCCTTCCTTCTGAACTGTTTATCAGCCAGTTCAGTTTTCCAATCCCAAAGTTACTTCGCTGTTGCCAGCGGTGGGAATGTGCAGGCAGGGCAGCCAGAGGCCTTTGTTTTCAGCAGCAGCATTAAAAATAGATTAATTTTAACCTATTTTGATGCTGTACCAGTTTATACCAAAAAACATATTTTATGTATCTGTCTAATGCAATCTGTGAAGGCAGGAGTATCATTTTTTTAATATTTGTCACAACCTTTACTTCGTGTAGATCAGACTGTAGCTGATTTTTCATTGATTTCTAAAGTTGTGTATAGTACATATCTGTGATGTATGATTAGAAAAATCCATTTACTTTATGTTTTTCAAGAAATTAAAATCAATATGCTATATTTGGTATTAATATGACTACGTGAAATGACATCAATACTTTTTGTTCTATTTGCAAATACATTAGGAAATTTCAGGAACTTGTGGGTTTTTTAGAGAGAATAATATATGAGCTGTGGGGAGCTGTAATGACAGTTTAATCTGAAGATTCAGCCGTCTT